TTTAGATTTTAGAGGAGATAGCAATGAATGGACAAGCCGATGACATTCTGTCAGGTGCTATGAAGAAAAGTCTAGTGGATTAAAAGATTAGAGTGTGTATGAGTGGATATCATTTTTAAAATAATGGCTAGGGAAGCCTTTCTGAAGGAAGGAAGTGACAGAATAATGAAATGTATGAAATTTCAGAAGAGACTTGCAKGCAAGAACTAATGAAGAAGCCCTGAGGCAGAGATAAGTTTGGAGTGCTTCAGTAATAGGGAGAAGGCTGGTGTGGTTAGAGTACAGGGAATGAGTGACAGGGACTTGGAGAGAGTCAGGAGCTGTGTCCTGAAAGGTCTCTAGGCCAAAGAAGGAGTTTGAAATCTGTCCTGTGGATGATGGGAAACCATGAAGAGTTCTAAGAATGGGGGTGGAATTATCTTATAACCCCAGCCCCCAAAAGGTCCCTGGTTGGGGGCTGGGGTTATGGCTCAGTTGTAGAGGCACTGGGTTCAATCCTTAGCACCACACAAAAATAAATAAATAAGGGTATTGTGTCCAACTGCAACTAAAATAAATGTATAAATTTTATATATATATATATATATATATATATTTTTTTTTTTTTTTTTAAACAAGGTCCCTGGCTGCTGTGTGGGAAACAGGTGAAGGCATGCAGAGATATGGCAGGGTTGAAAATTCTGTTGGTTGTGGAAACCCTTAGTGAATGGTGATGGTGAGCTTGGGCAAAAGGAGTTAGGATAGGAGAATTGTTATTACTGCCTCAGACTTTCTGATAGATGTACATGGACTGGAAAGGAGTCAAGGACGGGTTCTAGACTTTTTGCTCTGGGTAACTAGGCAAATGGTGGTGAGGTTTTCTGAGAAATTGGTGAACTGGCGGAGGAACTGTTTTTAGAACAGTCTATGAAAAAATCTGACTAAAGGGTTTATTGGAGTTACGTGTATAAATTGCTATTTTGTTTTATTAACATCTATGATGGATTTTGAGACATTCATATATGGCACCATTTGCCCATTTAAGGTGTATGATTCAATTTTTTTAGTGCATTTACACAATTGTGCAACTGCTACMACAACCAATTCTAGGTAGTTTTCATCACCCCAAAAGAAACTTTGTACTATTTAGAACATTTCAAATAAATGAAATAATATGAGCCTAGTTGGGTCTGAATTCTTTTACTTAGCATAATGTTTTCAAGTCTCATTTGCATTGCAGCATGTATCAGCACTTCATTCCTTTTCATGATTAAATAATATTTTCTTATATGATTCAACAGTTTTGTCTTTAATTAGTTGATTAACTTGTTGATTTTAAAGCTATTTTGAATGATGCTGCTATGATGTTTAAAGATGTGTACATGTCTTCATTTCTCATTCTATTTTCAGTTACTATCTAATTCCAGAGCATTTTCTTTCTTCCTTTTTTTTTTTTTTTTTAATTCTTAATGGGGATCCAATCCAGAATCACGTGCTGCATTCACTCACTCACTCACTCACTCACTCACTCACTTATTTATTTATTTGGTGCTGGGGATCGAACCAGGGCCTGTGCTTACGTGGCAAGCACTCTGCCAACTGAGATATATCCCCAGCCCCCAGAACATTTTCATTACTTGAAAAAAAGAAAAAAAGAGAATCCTTGTGTTCATTAGCAGTCATTCCCTTTTCTCATACACACAGTCCCTGGAAATAGCTAATCTAGTTGTTGTCTTTGAGTTGTAAGAGTTCTTTAAGTATTTGGAATACAGTTATTCTGATATTTGGAAGTAATTTGGAAGTAATTTGGAAGTAATTTTTCCCATTCTGTGGGTTGTGTTTTTATTTTCTGGATGGTTTTCTTTGAACCATGTAAGTTTTTCATCTTGATACGGTCCATTGTATCTACTTTTTCATTTGTCATTTGTGCTTTTAGTGTTCTGAGAAGACTTTGTCTAACTCAAGGTGATGAAGGCTTACACCTTTGCTTTCTTCTAAGATATTTATAGTTTAGCTCATTAATTTAAATTTATGGTCTGTTTGCTGTTATGATTTGTATGTGGTACAAGGAAGGGTCTAACATCATTCTGTTGAGTTTGTGAACATTCAGTCGTTCTGGCACTGTTCATTGGAAAGACTTCCCCCTATAAAATTGTCTTGTTCCTCTATAGGAATATTAATTGACCATAAAAGAGTGTTTGTTTCTGTACCCTCACTTCTGTTCTGTTGAACCCTGTATCTATATTCCTGCCATCAGTGCACTGTCTTGATGACCATAGATTTATAGTAAGTTTTGAAATTGGGAAGTTTTTTGCCATAATTGTTCTGGTATTTAGGATCTTTTTTATGTCCATGTGAATTTTTGGATGAGCAAGTTAGTTTTGCAAAGAAATCTAGCTCGGAGTTTGGGAAATTTATTTTTTATTTTAATTTTTTTTTTTTAGTTGTAGATGGACACATTACCTTTATTTTTTATTTATTTCTTTTTATATGGTGCTGAGGCATGAACCCAGTGCTTTATGCGTGCTAGGCAAGCGTTCCACCACTGAGCTACAACCCTAGCCCAGTTTGGGAAATTTTGACATTTTAATGTCAAAATTTCTTTTCAGCTCCATGTACATAGAATCACTTTTCTTTTACTTAAGTGTTTTTTATTTCTTTTAACAATGTTTGTAGTTTTTTAGTTTTCATAGTTTATCAATGGATTCCTTAATATTTTTGCTCATACAAAATCATATCATGTACATGTAGGTAGTAAGAGTGACCATCCTTGTCTCATTTCTGATTAGGCAGAAATATCTAGTCTTTTACTATTTACTATGATGTTAGCAGTATATTTTTTTGTAGGTTATTGTGAGTATTTTTATCATGGTTATTGGGCTTTGTCATGTTTTTTTCTCTGGCTGTAGAAATGTTCATGTGTCTTTTGCTTTCTTTACATTTATCCTGCATTGTAGAAGTTAAAGATAGACATTAGTGATTGCATAAATGGCAGAAACCTTGGGAATGGATAAGATTACCCATAGAGAGCATTTGTAGAGAGGAGCTCAAAGATGGAATTTTGAGGAATACAAATATTCAGTTTATCATATGTGCTATGAAATTTGATTTAAGTTAATAATTTCAATGAAATCTTCACCTGGTATCACAGGTTGTGGTTTTTTTTTTTTTTTTTTAACTAGGTAATTATGCTTTCTGCAACTGTTGATATTTCTGGTAACATGTACATTGAACCCTGGAGAGGTTTAAGTATTTAAAGTATAGGCAAGTGAAGAGAACCAGAATGCTATTTTTAAGATGAACATGTATGTGATGAGTTGATAGCAGTAAGAACTTTAAACTTCATGAACACTATAAGTGAGCATTTTAGATTGAAGAATTTACCTTTTCTCACCTAGAAGTAATATTACTGTGAAATAAGACAGCTTATAGGAAAGTTCCTTCATGTAATTAGTATTCTCTTGTGAGAAACTCAAGGAATACACAATTAACAATTATAGATCTTTGGGTTTTGTATTGAAAACCAGGTAGATAGTGCTTTTTCTTATTTGTCCTTCTTGTGTACTTTGAACTTGAACTGCTACTAGTAATAATGTCTCTTTTGCTATGAGAAAACTCTGTTTTCGAGGCGTTAAAAACTAGTAATGGTCATTTAAGCATGTTGATGGAACTATTTTTAGGTTAATGTAAGATACTTAGTCTCCTAGAAACATTCTAAGTCCATGTTGGTAATTAAGATCTAAGTATATTATAAGATATTCATTATGTATTATAAATTTATTTATTGTTTATTTATTTAAAAAAATTTTTTTTAGTTGTAGATGGACATAGTACCTTTATTTTATTTGTTTATTTTTTTATGGAGTACCGGGGATCGAATCCAGGGCCACATGCATCCTAGGCAAGCGCTCTACCAATGAGCCACAACCCCAGCCCTCTACATTTACATTAATTGATTGTCTTGGAGATTGTTATAAGAAGTTATTGAAATTCTCCAATTAAATCATAAATCATAAATTAAATCATAAATAATTCAATATTATTTGGTTGAACTGTAAAGTCTTGTTTTATCAGTCAACTCATCAAATGATATGATTGGTAGAAGTCAGTGAGATATTATCTGACATTTTGTTTCTTATTGGAACTACATTGTTAGAATTTTCCTAAATACTATGAATTAGTTTATTTGAGGCAAGAGGGAGAATATTGATTTTTTTAAATTATGGATTCTAAAAGTAATGAAAAGTGGGAAACTGTGTCATCTGTCCTCAACTTGCAGACTGTCTTCATGCATATTAAAGGAGTTCAGATATCCATTTTGGGTGGTAAGAACCCAAATGTATATACCAAGATTCTTAAAAGAAATCAGCCATACTTTACAATAGAGTCATACTTGGAGACCACAAATTATTTCATGACATATAAAATGTATTTAGAAATATATTCACAGAAAAAGTTTGCCGACTTAGCCATTTCTAATGTCCYCAATTAGTCTAATTCAGAGTTCTTAAAAGTTTGAGAACTGAATATTTTCTGTCATTAACAAATAGATTAAATGAGATGATACTCATTAGGGAGAAAGTGAAGGGCAGTGTTGAATGTTCAGGTTCTAAGGTTTGAAGTAAATACTTAAGGTTACAAAATCATTAAATACTGTTTTGAATTTGAAATTTTGATATTTGAGTTTGAAAGTTGTATGTCTATAGACAATGATAGTACATATAGTACATATAGTCAAGTATACTGTTGACTATATGTATACTGTTTACATGTCAGTAAACAGTATTTGTCCTATGTTACATAATGCCGTTGGCAAAGAAAATACATAGTTCTCCTTGTATGTATACATTGTGATAAGTAGTAAAAGCTGGAAAACACGTTATAAAATTCATACATTGCTTTAACCTTCTTGATGTAGAAAAAAATAAATGTTTTTGGGAAGATTGTTAACTCAGTTTCACTAAATATATATGTACTTTTTAATGTGAAAAATTGTTGGGTTTCTGTTCTTATTACCACAGGAAGCATATGTGCCTCATTTCTTACCCAAAGTTACCAACTGCCAGTTCTTGATACAATGTTCATAAGAAAGAAATTCAGAGGCAAAGATTTTGGGCTTCATATCCTGGAGGACTTCGTAGATTCCTTCACAGAAGATGCACTTGGTTTGCGGTATCCACTGTCTTCTCTCATGTATACAGGTCAGTGGAGTAAGTTGAAAAGGGTGAGCTGGTCTTATTGTCACTTCCAGCTTGTTTCTCCTGAATGTTATATAAGTGTATATTAGCAATATTAAATAGATTTGGAATTTTTTACTCTTAACTTTATAAATGTGCCTTGATCTCAGATATATGACTTTTGGGGATTATGGTGGCTCATACCATAAAATTCACCCTGTTAACATGTACAATTCAGTGATTGTTCACAGCTGTGCAGCTCTAAGTACTAACTCTAGAACATTCTCATCACCCCAAAAGAAACCTTGTACCAATTAGAAGCCATGCTGTATTCCCCTCAACCCCCYTTTTTTAACATCCCATGATAGGCAACCTCTTATCTATTTTCTGTCTCTGGATTTAGCCATTCTGGAGATTTCATTTAAATGAAATCACGTAGTATATGACCTTTTGTATTTGGCTTTTTCTTAGCATAATGCTTTCAGAGTTTATCCATGTTGTAGCCTGAATTAACTTCATTTCTTTTTATGGCTGAATAATATTCCATTGTATAGATATACAACATTTTGATCCAGAATGATTGCAGTATTTTGTATTTCCATAAACAGTATGTGAGTGTTTTAGTCAGTTTTTTCATCTCTGTGACCAAAAGACCTGGCAAGAACAATTTTAAGGAGGAAAAGTTAATTTGGGGGTTCATGGTTTTCAAAGATTGTCAATCCATAGATGGCTGACTCCATTCTTCCTGGCCTGAGGYGAGGCAGAACATCATGGTGGAAGGGTGTGGTGGAGGGAAGCACCTGGGAACATGACACCTGGAAGTAGAGAGAGAGAGATTCTGACAGAGACAGACATAGACAGAGAGATATCACTTGCTCTGCTCAACTAGGACAAAATGTATACCCTAAAGGCACACAACCTATCTACCTTCCATTACCACTCCAGTTAATCCCTGTCTGGGGATTAATTCACTGATTGGATTAATGCTCTCATGCCCCGATCATTTCACCTCTAAATTTTCTTACATTGTCCCATATATGAGCTTTTAGGGAATATTTCATATCCGCATCATAACAATAGGATTGCGTACGTTCTCTACCCTCTTGCCAACATTTGTTATCTGTTTTTATTACAGTCAGCCTAGTGAATATGAAATGGCATTTTATTGTTTTGATTTATGTTGAGCATCTTTTCATGTTAGCATTGACCATTTATATGTCATTTTTGGAGAAATGTTTATTGAGATCTTTTGACCATTTTTTTTCCCCATTGGGTTATTTGTCTGTGGTATCTTTAAAAAAAAATTTTTTTTTAGGTGTAGTTTGACACAATACCTTTATTTATTTTTATGTGGTGCTGAGGATTGAACCCAGGGCCTCACACCTGCAAGGCAAGCGCTCTACCACTGAGCTACAGCCCTAGCCACTGTCTGTGGTAACTTTTTAATGAACAAAAACAAAATTCCAGACACAAAAAGGTACAAAGAGGGCTGGGGTTTGGCTCAGTGGCAGAGTGCTTGCCTCACACGTTATGAGGCACTGGGTTTGATCCTCAACACCACGTAAAATAAATAAATAAAGGTACCGTGTCCATCAAAACTAAAAAAAAAAAAAAATAAAAATTTATAAAGAATGAGGTAACAAGTACTCATACACCTTTCAGCATGTACCTTTCATGAGAAATGCATTGTTGCTACTGCACTTGAAGCCTCTTGTTCACTCAGTTGAACACATTCCCTTTCGTGAGACAGGTGCTATTCTGAGTTTAGCATTTACTTTTTCCATGCATTTCTTAGACCTTTAATACGTATGTGTGTATTATCAGACAATATATTATATTGTTTTACGTATTTTAAGACTTTATACAAATATATATTCTGTGAATTCTTCTGAAATTTACTTCCTTATTCATCTTGTAAGTTTGTGGAAGTCATTAATGTGGATTCATTATAACTGTAATAATTTTCAATATTGTTTAGTTTCTATTGAATAAATATACCATTTGGTGATGTTTTAAAAACCATTAGGTGATTTAAGCCCATACAGCTCCCTTTTTTTTAATGATGTAAGATTTAATCCTGGAAAATAATTAATTTAGAAATACAAAATATTATTTATTACTGATTTTTTTTTTCAGTCCAACATCCGATGTTTATTTCCACTGAAAACCTTTTTATTCCAAGTCCTCCCTCCCACTCTAATATCAAAAGTGATCCAAAAAGCTGGATGTTACCTGCCCATTTTGAATCATTTTCTCTCTAGCTCCATTCGGGGCAGTAATATGGGCATTGCATGCCCTAGGATRATTCTGAATTAAATTATTTTAATTACCCCTTTACTGAATTTGGGAGAGGAATGCAAAGACATCCCCTGCAGGTAGATTACCTTCTTAGTATTAGTCTTTTCTATGATTTTGTAATGACAAGAAAAATGAATTATAGATGAGTATTTGCTGATTTCTGTGTTTTGGTGAAGTCTTGATGAGCTTGAGCTCTTCATTTTTCACAGTGTTTTATTGATATCATCTATATAATTTTGTAAGAATTTGAAATCTGAAAATAATTAAAAGTATAAATTTTATTGGCACATTTTAATTATACATAAGAGTAGTATTCATCATGACATATTTGTACATACTCATAACATAATTTGGTCATTTTCATTCCCCACTGTCTCCCCTTTCCCTTCCCTTCTCCTTATTCCTTGTCCCCTCTCTGTCTTTTTGGTCTTCCTTCTAATACTCCTATTTTAATCTATGTGGTCTCTGCATCACTATATTTCTCTTTCTGACTCTGTTGGAAGAAACAGTGCTTACTACATTTGAAAAGGTAGATTTCATTCAATTTTTAAACTTTATTAGTAGTTCCTTGATGTTGCAGTATGTCCAGTAGTTCTTTGGTGATTTCCAGTTGCTTCAAGTAATACTTTTGGATGTTTTAGGAATATTGAAGTGTTTTACATTGCAAGTTTTTTTTTTTTTTTTTTGGACCAGGGTGCATAACGCCTGGGGCCACATTCCCAGCCCTTTTTTGTATTTTATTTGGGGACAGGGTCTCACTGAGTTGCTAAGTGCCTTGCTAAGTTGCTGAGGCTGGCTTTGAACTAAGATCTCCTGCCTTTGCTTCCTGAGTCACTGGGATTACAGATGTGTTGTGCCTGGCTACATTGCAGGTTTTTAAAGAACGAGATAAATTTGTTCACTCTCCAAATAGGTAGTGAGTGCCAGGTGTGGGAGGGGGAGTTGATCTAGAGTAGATGATCACCTTTGTATATGAAATTGGTTTGCATAGTACTGTAGATACATGAAATAAATAGGCCAAGATTTTCTACAACTTAATGTATGATTTTTAAAAAATTTGAAACTATTTCTGCTGCCAAATAGTCTCTGACTTTTCACCATTTATTGTACTTTT